TAGCATTTGTGGTTGATGAGTTATAGCCGTTCAAAGGTAACCAATCACACTTGCGTTTCTTTTGGTAGCCACTGTATTACTGATTAGCATATATTAAAAATTAATTAAATTTAATTTATCTTATTTATAATTAATTAACATACTTATCCTTTAAATTGTAGAGATTTAAAAATAAATTTATTTGCTCATTTATAATAAATTTTCTTCTGATTAATTTTAAATTAATTTTATAAATATATATTATTATAATAATTTTATTTTTTTTAATTATATAATAAATAATCTAAAGTTATTTATTAGCTAAAAATTAATAATTTTTAAAAAATTTTATTATTGATCTTTAACAATTTTATTAATATTTATTTTTAGTAACATTAATCATAATAGAATATTATTAAATAAAAATAACTTTTATCCATTAATTATATTTAATATAAAGACAATCATTTGATTCACTTTAATTAAAATTTTCTAATAAATGTAAGTATGGCTTTTTAGGACTAATATTTAATGTTATATTTTAAATAGAAGAAATAATAGATAATTTTGCAGATCATTATCAAAAAATTATAATTTTTTAACTACAATCTGATCAAAATAACTAAAACTATAAAATGATAAAAATAATCATAATGTTATTAATAAAGTTACTTATATTAATATATTTAAATTAGTTTAATTTATTAATAAAGTTTATAATATTTTTATAATTTTTCAAGTTATACTTTATTTTAATTAGTAATTAATAAAAATAGATAATTTTTTAAATAAAGATAAAAATTATATATAGAAATTAATTAATAGAAAAGGAAAAATTTAAATTTTAATAAAATTTTTTTATTAGTTTATTTGATTGATTATAATCATATATTTAAAATTAACTTAAAAATTAAAATTAATGAAAATTTCAAATCTTTTTTTTTTTTTTTTTTTTTATTGATAAGTTCTAATATATTGTTTAATTTTAATATTGTTAAAAATATAATATTCTAAAATCTATATCTATAGAAAAATTCTTATTAATATTAAAATAATTAATTATATATTTATATTAATATCTTTAAAATCGAAAAAATAATATATTTATATATATTTTTTATAATTTTAATAATATAATAATATTTTAACTTAAAATAGTAATGAATAATTATTATTAACAAATATTATTATATAACTTTTATAAATAGTATATAAATATTAGAAATTTTTTTTTAAATTTATTATTATATTTTAAAAATTAATATTATTAACTATATAAATTATATTATAATAAATTTTATAAAATAATTCTAATTTTTAATTATTTAAAATGTTATTTTTTTATTAAAAATTTTTTATATTATATATAATATAAATAATTTATTATCAATTAATTAATAAATAAAATTGTTTTTAATATCATTTATCTTATAATAATTTTTTATCTTATGTTTACTAATTTTATTTTACAATACAGAACATTTATAATAAAAACTTTACTATAGTAAAAATTAAACAAATTTAAAATGTAAAAAAAAATTTATTATATATAAAATTAAAAATTTTCATTCATAAATAAAAAAACTATAACCTATGTTTTAAGAATTTTAAATTAAAATTTTAATATTTTTAATATTGATAATATTATATCAGATTAAATTTATTCAAAATTAATTATAAAAACTAAAATTGAAAAAAATATGTGATGATAAATTTATAAGAATGATTTTTTATCGTTTATATATTTTATCTTAAATATTATTATAAATTGAATTACAGTTATCCTTTTCTATAGTCACCTTCTATATAATTACATTATATAAATCTCTTATTATAAGCATATATTTATAAGAATTAATATTTATTAATGCTATATAAAAAATACTTTTATAATCATAGTGTTTTATAGTCACACCTTTTTTAGAACTAATATTTAATAACAATATATAAAAATCCTCTTGTATAGTAACTTTTTATTATAATCATACTTTTATTTTTAGTCTTGAAAAGTATAACAAAAGGAAATGACTATATATAAAGATATATTAAGTTATAGCAAAAGAAATATATTACAATTACATATAAGTTAGATTTTAACAAATTGTTCCTAAAATATTAGGTTCAGTTTCTTTAATTATAATTTAAAATATACACAAAATTAATAGTAATATATAAATATTTATGGAAAAGATATTACTAAAAAATGGTAGATTTATACATAAAAAATATATATATATATCTTATCTTTATATATCTGATGTAATTTATAATAAATAATAAAATAAAATAAATTAAATTATTTTATATGATTTTAATTTTAATTTCTGATTAGCTCATATATATATTATATAATATTTATATAATTTATAAAATTGAAAAAAACTTTTTTTATAAATCAATTTATTTTACAAATATAAATCAATTTTTTATTTGATTAAAATCTAATCATAGGATTAAATTTTATTAATATTTTTTTAGATTCCTTTCGCATTATATAATTCATTTTATCAATATTATATAATCAAAATCTAATGTTTTAACTTTTTAATTATATTTTGAATATATTTTTTATTTTTTTATTATTTATTTGATTAATAAAATCAATATAAAAAAAAAATTTAGAAGTAAAAATTATTTAAATTATTATTATTACATAATAATAAAATTTTTATCTTTTTAGATAATAAAGATTTTAATAAAAAAAATAATTTTGCTTTAATAAAAGATAAATTAAATGAATTATTTTTTGATTACTTTTAATATTATATTTTAATTAAAAAAAAAAGTGATTTATAAAATTATATAAAAAAGTTTGTATAAAAAATTTGTAAAATAAAAAAAAATAAAAATTTATAAAAAAAAATAAAAATTTATCTTACTAAAATAATGCATTTATAATAAAATAAGAATAATACAAATAAAGCTTTATCTTACTAAGACATTTATTTGTAATAAAATAAGAAATAATACAAAATCAAAGCTTTATCTCGCTAAGATAATGCATTTGTAATAAATAAAAATAATACAAAATCAAAGCTTTATCTCGCTAAGATAATGTATATGTAATAAAATAAGAGAATAATACAAAATCAAAGTTTTAATTCACTAAGATAATGCATTTGTAATAAATAAAAAATAATACAAAATCAAAGCTTTATCTCACTAAGACAATGCATTTGTAATAAATAAAAAATAATACAAAATCAAAGCTTTATCTTATTAAGATAATATATATATAACAAATAAAAAATAATATAAAATCAAAATTTTAAATTATTAAAATAATGTATTTGTAAGGAAATAATATAAAATAAAGCTTTGTTTTACTAAGAAAATGCAAATGTAATAAAATAAGAAAATAATACAAAATTAAAGTAAGATAAATTAAAAGAAAATATAATTTAATCCCAAAAAAAAATCTGTTAGTATATATTGAATATGAAGAAAATAAATAATCTCAGTCATATAGATGTTTAAAAACAAAAAACATATACTTTTTAGAGTATACTTCTATAATTTAAGAATTAAAAGAAGATAAAAGATCAGATAAAAAAAAAATTAAAAGATTTTTTTAAAAAATTTATTACGCTAATTTTAGTAATTTGTAAAATATATATAAATTAATGGTTTAAGTTATTAAACTGATTACATAATAAAAAATATAATATCAAAAATTCAAGAAAGCTTATTAAATAATAAAGAAAAAATATTAGTAATATTTTTAAAGCAAAAAAAAAATCAAATTATTCTTTCAAATTACCATTTCAAGTCTAAGAATTTTTTATTTAAAAAAAATAAGAAATAATATTAGTAATATTACTAAAGAAAAAAATAAACAAATAAAAAATTCAAGTCTAAAAATCTTAAAATAAAAAAAGAAACATTAGTAATGTTTTAATGAAAAAAAAAAATTTTTCTTCTAAATTAACATTTTACTCTAAGGATCCAAAACCTTTTTTTTTTTAAAAAAAAGAGAAAGAACTATTAGTAATATTTTTAAAAAGTAAACAAAAAAAAAATTTCAAAAATACAAACCTTTAAGGAATTACAAAATCTAAAATTAAATGAGTAAAGTCGGAAGTTTAAAAAATTTTAAAAAAAAAGCTGAAAAAATTTTATACTCTCATGTGATGTGACTGATTTTTGATTGATAAATTTTATTGCTTAGTAATCAAAATGTTTTCAACTATTTTTTGCTATCTTGAGTACTTTTCCCATTCTGAATATAAACTAAAATTGAGGAAAATTCCCTATCTGTATAAAATTGTATTACTTGTAATACTGAAAAATTATTTTTGAACCTATTTTTAATTCTCAATTTTTGCGTTTGCAGATTTACCAGATCTACTAACATTATGTTAGATATCATTTTAGGTGAAGAGAATACATTTCCTATTAATTTCAATACAAAAAAGACATTGAGTACCTCAAGGGAGCCAGGTAGAATTAGTTAATCCTACATTCAAATTGATGTTATAATAAATCATTGTTTCTGAAAATGAGAAATATGAGATATATGAGAGAATCAATATTAAAGAAAAGTTTAAAGATAAGAAATTAAATAGCATTCTCAAAACTATTAGATAAGTTTTTAATGAATAATATATATACATATAATTATATAATAGTTTCTGCCTACTACCATTAGTAAGTGTCTTTAAATGGTTTATCTCTTAAATAAAAAATTTGCAAATCTTTATTAATCAGTTTGTTTCTCTGTTTTTATATTCCTATTCTTCCACAAAGAGTTTATACCAAAGAAAAGGAAATTTTGACATAGAAATCATAAGAAAACAAATATTTTTCAAGGTTTAAGAACTAAGGTTCAGCAGGTTTTTGTTAAATTCAGAATTCAAATTAATATATGAGAATAATCTATTATACATAGACAAAATGCCTTAGCTGTCTAATCTTAATCTAAATTCTGGCTAATACTTTGTATTAAGACCTTAAAAGTTTAAAAAATTAATACTTCTTATTATGGTCAAATTTTTCTTTCTAGTCCAGCATAATCTCTTTAAGAGTTTATACATCTATCAACATCTACCAGAAATTTATATTAAAGATATAATAAGGAAATGGAATGAACCAAACTTGCCTTTAATTCTGGTAATCTGATTTGATTTCTTCAAAATAACATCTAATAAAGAATAGCGTAAATGATATCACTTTAGATAAAAATATGCAAACTACTTTAATAAGAATAAAAAATCTGTTCTCTTATCATGAAGTAGTTGATTTTATTATATTTTTACCTGAAGAAAACGTTTTTTACATAAATAAAAATCAATATTATAATAACCAGAGGTATTACAAAAGAGATTTATTTGAGCATTAAGATTGATTGGAAAGAGTTACAGTTTGAATTTAAAATATGATGATACTGTCAAAGATGTTAATGAAAAACTAATTAAAATACTTAGCGGTTATGATAAAAATGTATATAATGAAATTGATTCATTAATACTATGTCTTTAATATGATAGAAAAGAGCTTGAAATTGCAGATGAAAATCATGAGTTATTGAAGAATTTTTTCAAAATAATAAAGGTATTACAATAGAAAGTTCAATTTATCTGGTAACTGGTGTTATAATATTTTTTAAACATGCAGGAAAAATCAGCTTGAGAACTTGACTTTAAGTGATAAGCTATTCAGAATAGAATATGTAAAGGATATTACAAAATGTAAAATCTGAATCTAGTGTTTCAGGCGAATTATTTCTCAACATCTGAAATATTTCACCTAGAGAATTTTTCAACAATCAAAAACTATCTGAAACCTTAAAAACCCTAAGTTAGAAAGATATTTGCAGTTCAATTAGTAAAACTAGTTTTCAAAATATTATTTGAATCAGTACTAGTCTTAAGTTTAAGGTAATTAATTTTAATTTAAAATATAAAATAAAGAGTGTTGCATTCAAATAGGATGATAGAGAACAAAAGATAGATATATACCTCATCTTAGAAAGATATTTCAAATTTCAAAATATCAGAATCTTAGAAAAAGGTTATTAATTAATTAAAATATTCATATGTAAATTTGAAGAAAAATGTAATCCTATTAATGAAGTTATAATAATAGCTAATGTTGATTAGAATACAAATAATCAAAACTTTTATCTTGTAATTGATTCAGGATCAATAATGAGTTAAACAATATTTTTGTCATCCTAAAAATCTTAATTCTGATTGAAAATTGAATTTCAGCTAGAGTTAAGTTTATCTATTTTAACCAGTTAAAAAAATTTATTAATCAATTAATACGTTAATTACTTTAATCAGTTAAAAAATCATCAAATGATTAATATATTAACTACTTTAATTAATTAATTAACCAGTTAAAAATTAATCAGTTCTAATCTCTTAATCTTAAAATATATATTATGACTGATTATAATAATTTTCTTAGTATGAGTACTGACATTTTGACAATAAGATTTATTGATATATAGATATAACTATAGTGGATAGGTTTTTTATTTCTTTAGGATTTCATAACATCATATTTAAATTCTTTTTGAATTAAAGAAATCCATTTATAGACATTTATATTAAGTTTTAGTAGAATTGATTGCTAGAGATTTAAATTTATATATATTATTTTAATAGTATTAATAGATTTAGGAAATAATTAGAATTTTTTTACATTAAAAGTTAGATATTTATTCTTCTTATAAATAAAATTATAATAGTAATACAATTAAATATGAAATTTATAAATCAAGAGTTAAAAGATTACTTTAGTTAAATTTTGATTTTATAATAATTCAAGAATATGTATTTAATCTTATTTACGATTTTTATTATTTATTAATAAAAAAAATTTTATTATATTTATTTTTGTATAATCTCTCATTATTTTTGTATTATTATTTTATAATATTAATGATTAAAAATTAGTATTAATGTAAGATTAACAAAGGATTTAGCTTTAATTAATACTTTAAGAAAATCTCTGAAGGGTTTATAAATAATTATTATTTCAAATGATAAGGTATATTTAAAATAAACTTTAAGGATTTTATTATAAATATAGATTTAGTACAATTATATTTTTTAGCATATAACTGTTATTAGTATTTATTTTGTTAGTGATAAAAACTAATTAAATTCTAATTGTTCATAGAATTATTTTTTTTAAAATTATCTGTTTTAACTAAGTCTCAAAGCTATCTTATTTATATTAAATCTACTAATATAAATAAATAAAATACTAATTAATTACAAACAACAAATGATTAATAATATAAAATAATTAATAATATAAAAAAAATTTTTGATGACTTTTGGGTTTTTTGTGTAATTTTATTTAATTCATTTCTTTTATCTCTACTATTTCTGTTGTCTAATATAATGCAGTTAATGTGACTTTTGGTCATATGTATCACATTACATCAGATGATTTTTTGAATTAATATCTTCTTATTATAGTATTAATAAAGATTTATCTATTATATTTGCATAATTATTTCAAAAAAAATATTATGAAAAAATGTATTTTTTATTGAAAATAATAGTATTAAAGAATAAATTATTAAATAAAAGTAAGTTTGTAATATATAATTATTATCTATATATATTAATGATTGCTAGAAAATATTAAAATAGAATAATTATAAGATATTATTACATCTAAAAAATATATGCAAAATATTTTTCTATTAATATGTAATAATATAAGAATAGTTATAGGATTATCAGATTTACTAGTAAATTATATACAAATAAGATCTTCTTAGGTATCTAATATTCTTTTAGAAGCATTAGCAACTCTGCTTAAAGATATATATTTCTGATAGTTATCATCTTAGATTAAATAACTTGAAATAACTATATTTATAATGTTAACGTGCAATTCTTGTAAATTGCGATAATTAAACAGGATATTCAGATGGTGATTCTTTTAAGTTTACGTAGTAACCTAATAGTTGTCTCAGTAAGTTAATAGTTCTTTTATATACCGTAAAGTATATTCACATCTCAGTTGATTAAGTTTTATTATATATTAAAAAATATATTTAAACCTATAATAAATGTATAATTCATTTACTATATACTACACAATATATTCAATACACTATTGAGTATATTTCCATATATTAAGTCAAAATTAAACGTGAATTAGATTATAAATACAAATATTACAAAATGTTTTAAGTAAATTGAATAAAGATTTATTGGTAAATAAATAAACTAAAAGCCAAAAATACTAAACTAAAAGAATACAGAAGAAGAATTAATCACAAAATAGAAAAGAATAACCTTACACTATTTTATAAAAAGGGTTACATATAGTTATCACTGAACTGATCAGATTGCATCTAACAATTAATAGTTACCTTCTTATCAAGAATTTAGTCTTCTTTATATACTTTTTTTAATGTAAATCTAATATATCATATATATTAGGTATGTCTGATATATCAAATATATCAAATATGTCAAATATATCAAATATGTCAAATATATCAAATATATCAAATATGTCCAATATGTCTGATATTTAGATCTGCAATATTCTTGTATTACATAAATTAAATATATCTATTAAGTCGATCTTATTAATTACATTATTTACATAACTATTTATAATGCATTATGTAGATCAATTACGTTATAATAGTCCTGTTACAATAATAACAGACTTATTAGATTATTAAGTACTATTACTATATGAATAAAGAAATTATTTAGCTTTAGAGCTTATTACATTCTATTTTTACTGTAACTTTATTAAAAATTACAATCTTTATCTGCTATTATTGTAATACAAAATAATTTGAAGAATAAAAATCATATGGTATAACAAAATGATTTAAAAAATATTAGTAAAACTTGAAAGATCTGCAAACTAGCTAAAAAATGATCAACTTTAATGTTATTCAAACTTTAAGCAAATTAATTAATGAAAAGAAATAAATTATTCTATAATGATATATAATATAAACTTAAATTAGATATATTAAAAGAAATTTAAAGGAAAAAAACTAAGAGAAAAAAATATAGTAATAATAGAGTAATAATTAGAATATTTTATGAAATAATTTAATCATTAATTATAGAATTATTACAAAATAATTAAATAGTAATTATTTTAACATAAACTTTTATGAACTTTATAAAGTAAATTCTTTTATTAGCATATTTATAATCATTGTATATACAAATGTATTTTTAATTATTTTGTGAAGTATTTGAGAAATTAAGTCAATAAAGTTTTTATATTTTTTTGGTTTAAAAATTTAGATTATAAATGGGTACTGAGATAAAACTTTAAGAAAAAGTATGTAATGCTTTTTATTTTTAGTTAAAGAAATCTAAGTAAAGATTCTTCTAAATAAATATGAATTTTAAGCTAAATTTAATTATTACTTATTTAGTTAAGTATTTCAGTTTATTTAATTGACAGTTAGAAAATAGTTTTGATATAGATTAGGTAGTATATGATTAAGTTTTATCATTTTAGAAGTTAAATATAATAATAAATAAGAAGTTTAGTAAATCTAGCAATAATTAAGATAATTAATAGAAATTTTAAAAGAATGAAGAATTAATATTTTACCAAATTCAATTTAGAATATTAAGAATAAAAGTACTCTATAAAAATATTAAAAAAAAATTAATTTTTAGATTTTAAAGATAATTCAAGAAGAAATAAAAAAATTAAGAATCATATTAAAAATTAAAAATTTTAAATTAATTTAGAAAAATTACTTCTTAAATAAGATCAAAAAATTAGCTTATAGTTTTAAATGTGAATAGTCATATTATAATATAATTAAACAGTTAGAGTGTAATAAAATAGCTGTTTATAGTATTTTTAAATATTTTAATAAAACTGATTCTTTAACACTAATTTTACTACAATTTAGTATATTATATATATATAATTTTTTTGATTTTAAAAATATTTATATAATTTTGATCATTGACTGTATTTAAGTTAATATAAAGTTAAAATTAAGAATAACATTAAGAAAGTAAAGTTAATTTTGATCAGTGTGATTTCTATTTAGCAGTTAAAAGAATCTATTGATATAAAAAAACTATCTATATAAAATTAAAGAAAAGGCATATTGTAACTGGATATTAATCTTAACAATCACAGATCTATAAGTGTATGATGAAGTATAAATGTTGAAAATATCAAATATTAAATATGTTTAACATGTTTAATAAAGTTAATATGTCTAACATATCAAATATATCTAACATAGTTAATATAGTAGATATTGTTAATATAGTTAATATAATTAATATATTAGATATATTAAAATATGTAATAAAATAGAAATAAATACAAGCCCTTTTATAAATTAGAGAAAACAGACTAATAGCTGTATAGAAAATTTTCTTTATAAAATATAGTATAATGCTACTTTTTACTTCGTATACCTTTATTTCTTATTTCTATTTTTTTATTCTTTTATATATTTTATCTTATTATTTCCTTTTTATTCCAATAAAGTATTGCTTATTTCTTACATAAAACTCTTCGTGAATTACTGTGATAACTCTTGACTTATGATTAAAGTCACTTATATTTAATAAACTTAACTTAACTTAATAAATTGTTAGTAAACAACTAAGATTTAGCAGTGAAATTAGTTAGAATTGTATGTAGATAATAAAAGAGTCAACTCTTTGATATTACATTTAACAGTTGCAATCTGAAAAGATTATATATTAATAATATTAATAAATTAAGATTTTAAATTATTTAGTCTAATATTAGATACAGAATCAAAGGTAAAATTATTAAGTTAGGTAGTTATTTATTTGGATATTGATATAGAGAGATTAATTTAAAAAAAGCTATTTCTTGAAGTATAAAATATAAAAGGTTATACAATAATTTATCATAAAATTTATAAAAGATCTTAATCAAGAAAACAGAAATTTACAGGTAATTAAATAGCATAAAAGCTATATTTTTATTATTATTTTTAAAGAATAAATACTAAAGTATTAAATAAACTATATCTAATACATAGAATGATAATTTATTAATGATAATCTGATTGTCTTAATAAGTAATATTGTGTATGAATTATAATTCTGTCTAATTTAATTATTTTTTCTATAATGTACAGTAGGGTATCAAAGTCACCGGGCATTTGCGATGTTGATCATTTTTTAAAAAATTATATTGAATTTTTAAATTGAGATAATTTACGAATTATCGCATCAATTTGAATAAAATTTTTTTTATATTAATCATATAAATATATATTTTATAATTTTATTATTAATATTTTGTAGAATTGCCTTTATTTTTAATAACAGTAGCAATATGACGTGGTATATTATCAATAAGATTTTTATAAATACTTTTATCAAGTTTTAACCATTCGTTCTGCAAAATCTGCCATAAATCATCTTGATTTTTTGGTAGTAGTTTATGTTTTCTGACTTTTCTATCCAATTCATCTCATAAATTTTCTATAGGATTTAAATCTGGATTCTGTGCAGGCTATGATAAGCTTGTAATCTTATTTTCTACTTTCTATTTTTTTACTACATTTGCTTTATGAATTGGAGTATTATCTTTTTGAAAAATATAATTATTTTTATTTTCTAAACTATTTATAAATGGTAATAAATAGTTATTTAATACATCTATATATATATTTGCTATTATTCTACCTTCTAATCTGACTAATTGACCTAGTTTATTCTTTGTAAAACAACCCCAAATCATAACACTCTGTTGACCTAATTTAAATGTAGGAATAAGACATTTTGGATCATATTTTTCTTGAGCATTTCTCTAAACATATCTTTTTTCATTTCCTTTAAATACTTTAAACTGAGATTCATTACTTCAAATAATATTTTCCCATTCATTTTTCCAATCTTTTCTATTTTTAGCCTATGTTAATCTTTTTATTTTATTAGCTGCATTTATAAAAGGTTTTTTTGTTCTAATTCTTCCAAAAACTCCATTTTTATGAAGATGTCTTTTAAGAGTAATTTGGTTTACATTTGTTGAAGTAGAAGTAACAAAATTTTCACATAATTTATTAATATTAGTTCTATGATTTTTATTAAGAATTTGTATTAAATGACGATTATCTCTTTCAGTTAAAATAGGTGATCTACCACTTCAAGAAGGAAGTGTTTCAAGACCATCATTTTTATATATAAAAATAACATTATGAATTGTACTTTTTGGATAATTTAATACTTCACTTATTTTTCTTTCACTAAACTCACACTTTCAAGCACCTATAATTTTATCATGTTGAAAATCAGATAGTTCTTTACGCTGAATAGTCATTTTTTTTATAAAAACTATTTTGGAATAAATTTTCATTAAAATATAAAATATAGAATTTAGTATAATAAATAAAAAAATTTTATTCAAATCAATAAGATGGTTATGGAAAAAATTTGATTTAAAATTTTGATTCAAAATTGAAAAAATGATTAACATCGCACATAATTAGTACTTACTATACCAAGACGATCTCAATGAATATAAATGCAATTAATCTGAAATTTTGAATAAATATATATTTTTTAATATGCTTAATAAGTTTACTTTGAACAAAAAAATGTATTACAACTAATAATTTCAATGTTTTATTATAACTGAAATCTTGTATTAAAATTCAAAAATTCTGTATTAAATATACAATAAATATTTTTATTTCTAATTAAATATTATAAAAAAACTTTAAAATATATGTAAAATATTAAAATGAACAACTTTTCTTATTCAACTAAAGTCGATTAAATTAATAAAAAAAAGTTTAATTTGAGGTTAAAATTTCTGTTGATTTTCTAATTTTTAAGTGCCTGGTGACTTTTGATACCCCACTGTACTTTATAAATTAGTTTAACTAAATTGTAACTAATGTTAGATTAGTTTTTAAAGTATTAAAGTTAATGGATTATTATTGAAGTTTACAAATCAATGCATAGGAAGAGTAGCTTTGATTTGTAAAGTTTATTAAAAGCTGTAATTTCAATTGGGCAAACCATTTTAGCACTTGTTATAATTGTGTCATAACACATGTTAAAAATCAAATAATGTAAGTAAGTTACACTTATACATGAAGGTAAGTTGGTTAACAAACATGAGAGATAATAATCTAGGTTTAAGAATTGCCTGTTGGTAATGCTTATAGAAAAGAATGATAAAATAGATAAGGAACCTTCTTTGATTTGATACAAGGAAAAGCTTTTATCTATACATTGTTGAAAAGTAAGACCATCTTTCTTTTCTGCAGACAGAAACAAAGACCACTAGTCTTTAAAGGGTTTTGCGTCATCATATGGCCAATTTGTAATAGGTGATAATAGTAACCATTCTAATAATTGTAATTGTAATATGCATAATCTTGAAGTCAAACCAAGCAACATTATGTCATTGATCATTTTCAATATATCATTAAATAATTCAATACTTATGTGATTGAATAACTTCGGAAGCAATGAAAGTTGATATTGTGAAAGATGAATGTTTTATAGATTTTAAAGCTATTTTTTGATTGATTAATAACAACATTATGTTTGATGGTAGTTTCACAGAACTTTAATTTTTTGTTTTTGGGCTTCTATGGCATGTACTTGGCTTAAAGTAATTTCCCACCCCTCCTAATCTAATAAATTATTATGAATACAGCTAACATATTTTATGCCAGACTACAATAAAAGTAGGTTGGTGAGTAAAAAAAATATCATTACCCACATAAAACCAATGTTAAAAAGAATTCTGTAAGTTGAATATAGCATCTTTTGAAAGTGGAATGTGAAACTTGTTACAATTTAAAAAAAATCCTTAAAAAGTGAATAATTCAAGTAGATAAAAAAAGTATTAGGATGATTTACTTGACATTTTGAATCGATGGACTAACCAAATTTTGCGATTCCAGAAAGAATGCGTCGCACAACAAACGAAAATTTTTTTCCGTTAATTTTGTAAAATTATATTATCTAACTCCTCTTACCATTTCTAGGCGTAAGACAAGCTGTGTAGCATCCACTCGAAGGAGAAATGTGGAGGTTATTCTTCATATAAAAGGAAATTTCGTTTTGGATGGATGTACCTTATAATGAATAGTACTTTTAACATTAATATTGATAGTTTAATTTACAGACAAAAGATTTTTATTTTCATTCGTCATAATCATATCACCCATCACATTTCAAATATATTTATTAAAGAGGATGGGATTTTACACAGTATATTTATTGGATCCTATGCTTCACTAGCGATTCTAAGCATAAATTGAGAAGTTTAAAAGTTTATAAACACGTAATACCGCGCCACGTTTCCAAATATGCATTTATTATCATTCCATTTTTAGGACTATTGATAAATAACTAAAAAAAATTGATATAAAAAGGCTTTTAAAGTATATCATAAAGAAACTGCACGCCTACAAAAAAAAAAGAAAAAAGAAAAATAAGACAAAAAGATTTAATTGGTCATGGAATCTTCAAATTTTTTAAAAGATTTATCAAATGATTTTGCAAACCTTTTAACAAACGGCGACGATTATGATGTAATTATTCAAGCGGGTGATGGACCAAATTTTAAAGAATTTCGTGCTCACTCTATTATTTTAGGAGCAAGATCAACTTATTTCCGAACTGCATTATCCAAAGATTGGGCTCACAAGAAAAACGGGATTATTACCTTTAAAAAACCAAATATCCCTTCAAATATTTTCGAGATTATATTAAAGTAAGTACATTTCCGAAAGAAAAAAATTTTTTTTTTTTCAAATTAACATTTTTATTTATTCCTATAGATATTTATATACTGGAATTGTTGAATTAAATAAACAAAATGGAACGGAAATTTTAAAACTTTTGGTAGCGGTTGATGAACTTGACCTTCCAAAATTATATAATTATATTCAATCTTTTATTGTTGATGTTGACTTTATGCAAGAAGATCCAGTAGGAATCCTTGAAATTGTTATTCAACATGAAGCTTGTTCAACCCTTAAAGATTCTTGTATTGAAAAAATATGTAACCAACCGAAAAAATTATTTGACTCTTCTAAATTTTTATCTTTGGATAAATCAATCATTATACTTTTATTGAAAAGGGATGATCTTTTAATTGAAGAAATTGAAATTTGGAAATATTTACTCAAGTGGGGTATCACTAAAATGGAAACTAAATTAGATGTCGAAAATGTTTCGCAATGGACTGAAGAAAATTTTATGGAATTAGAAAAGGTTCTTCATGATTTCATTCCTCTTATTAGATGGTTCCAAGTTCCCGCTAAAATCTTTTGGAGAAATGTTAGACAGTTTGAAAAGATTTTTCCAAAAGATTTATATCAAGATATTATAGGATACATAATTGACCCTGACACTCCACCTAATTCTATAGTTATTTTACCATCAAGAGATGTCAATAACAAACCTTTTGATTCGATCCTAATTGAGAAAGATCAATTCGATATAATTGCAAATTGGATTGACCAAAATAACAATAAATTTTATTCATTTAATCTTTTATACAGAGCTAGTAGAGATGGATTTCAAGCTCAAAAATTCCATGAACTGTGTGATAATAAGGGTGCAACCATAACAATAGCAAAATTGAAGAATGAAGATACATTGATTGGAGGATATAATCCATTTGATTGGAAACCTTACACAACTCATCAAAATGATAATGGATCATGGCAGGAAACGGGAGATAGTTTTTTATATTCATTTGCGAGTAAAAGCTCGAGAGATGGAAAACTTGCTCGTGTGACTGCAAATATTCATGCTGTTTCATATGTTACAAAATATGGGCCGAGTTTTGGAGGTGGATGGGATTTAGCCATTGAAAATTATCATATTATAAGTTCTAATGCATCTAGTTATTCCGGGAATAAATTCCTATCATTAAATAATCGTCATTTAGAAGATTACGAAGTTTTTCAAGTTATTAAAAAGTGAATTGTTTTACATTATGTATACTTTTTTTTTACTAGATCGAAAAGAAATAAATTACCGTTATCGTAGCACAGTTAATATATCTGGTGATAAAATCTTCAAATTTTTGAAAATGATGGTTTAGAAACATCGCTATTTGTAATTTATTATGATATTTATGAGTTTTGTAAACAGATGAGTTCTGGGTATATAAAGAGTAATAATATTAGGATTTCAGAGATGTATAAGTATCCGGGCAAGCTTTTTTTTTGATTGGATAGCATAAAATTTTTTTAAATAAAAGCCCCTGGATCTTACAATTAACTGTATTTATTTATACATCAATATAAACAAGATCGATTGTATAATGTTTATTTTTTTTTTGTTATGCCATTTGAAACATATTTTAAAATAGAAAAATTTGCGACTTAAAGTGTGTTTAAACATAGACCAATTATTAACATTTAGAATAGAGGAAGGACTCATGTTCAAAAACAAAGTTACAGATGCAATTTCAATTTATCTATACAAATATTTTAATATTGGATCAATGACAGAACTGGAAGACTAATTGAAAGCATTTAACGTCAAGTTGAAAGTACGCATTATAAATGACCAACTAAATATTTGTTTAATTGATCGATTAGTGTATTTGGGAAGTTTTCTAGGAATTAATTACAGTAAGATCATATTGTATTTTAATCTAATAACATCTAAAACTACAATGCAATAAAAATCGAAATTTTGTCAAAAATTTCCAGAACCTTATTTTTCTAGCAAAATTCCCACTTAGTGACAATTTGTTTTAGAATAAGAATTATGCGAGAGAACTGGTACTCAGTAGTTTTTAAAATTTAGGAATGATAGATGGTAACACAGGTAAGTTCAATTTTCCCACAGCACGTGCCATCTCAGTTGAAGTTCACCGCTAAATTCTAACGTTATAGAACTTTCATTGGATTATGGCTTCGTTGGAAATGCTATATCAACAAAAAGCTCACGACAAATGGAATAACCGAATAACAAGAGGTGATTCACAAATCTGGAGATGTGAAACATATAGAGAATGATAGGTGAACATAGTGTGCTCGAACCGCAATAAATAGTTCTGCGACGGACAGATCAATGCTTTGAAATTAACTAGGCGTAAGACAAGCTGTGCAGCATTCACTTGAAAGAGGGATGGGGAGGTTATTCATCACTTTAAACGGAAATATCGTTTTGGGTGGATGTAACCTTATAATGGTAGTATTAAATTTACTGATAAAAAGCATACCGTTTAAAATATATTTACGAAATATTTATTCGATCCTATACTTCACTTGGACTTTGATTAATAGCAACAATTGATTATAAAACGCGTAGATGCTGCGCCACGCATCAAATTAAGTATACTGCATCAGCGAACATCAAAATATGCAACATCAATTTGATTTTATGTATATCTGTCGAAGGGCTAATTCCCCGACATAAACCGGTTTCCATCTTATTTATCCATTATAGGACTATTGATATACTTAAACAATTGATAGAATTGTAAATTATTTCAAACACTTCAAGGAAATCATGCGGAATGTCCGTATGCACGCCTTTTAAAAAAAAAAAAGGAAAAAAAATAAGGAAAAAAAAGATCTGATAATTATATATAATATAATATATTTGTAAAAAGGAATTGCGTATATAAATGAACGAGTATCAATTTTTTCATTCATAATCTTAAATAATAATAATAATAATAATAATAATAATAATTATGTTTACCGATTCAAATTTTTTAACAGAATTATCCAAAGACTTTGCAAAACTTTTAGTAAATGGCGACGGTCATGATGTTATTATTGAGGCTGGAGAAGGACAAAAGATAAAAGAATTTCGTGCACATTCTCTTATATTGGGAGCAAGGTCAACATATTTTCGAGCCGCTCTATCAAAAGATTGGGCTCGCAAAGAAGATGGTGTAATCATCTTTAGGAAACCAAATATTACTTCGAATGTTTTCGAGGTGTTATTAAAGTAAGTAACTTTAATGCACATTTTTTTTTCTTTGAAAGAAAATAAATTTAAAAGCAAATTTTTTTATATTTTTTCTAAAAAAAAAAAAAAAAAAAAGGTATTTGTATACGGGCATAATTGATTTAGATATACTACAAGGGTCGGATTTACTTCGGATTTTGGTAGCAGCCGACGAATTAGATCTTCAAAAATTAAACATATATATTCAAACATATATGATCGGAAAACAATCAGAATACGTACAAGAGAATGCTATCAAAGTACTTCAGACGGTATTTCAACATGAGATATGTACAGTTCTTAAAGATTTTTGTGTAGATGTGGTTTGTAAAGAACCAAAATTATTATTCGAAGGTTCGAATTTTGATTCTTTGGATAAATCAATCTTTCAAATCGTTCTTCAACAAGATGATCTCGCAATGCAAGAATTAGAAATTTGGAATTATTTAATTAAATGGGGTATCTCTCGAATGGAAAATAATTTAGATATCGAAAAAGTTTCTCAGTGGACTTCAGAAGATTTCGAAGAATTAGAAAAAATTCTTCATGATTTTATTCCTTGCATACGATGGTTTCACATTCCACCCAAAGATTTTTGGCGCAAGATTAAACCATTCAAAAAACTTTTACCCGAACAACTTTATGAGGATATCATTGGACAAAATCTTGATCCCGAAACACCTCCGAATACTAATAACATTTCACCTATGCGTTGTCCACCAATTGAATCTTGTCTTATTGAAGAAAAACATCTCGCGCTTATCTCGAGTTGGATTGACAAAAAACCAAGGAACTTTTATAGTTTTAAAACAAAACCTTATAATTTTGAACTTTTATATCGTGCTAGTAGGGAAGATTTTGATATTCAAAAATTTCATCAATTGTGTGATAATAAAGGTCCAACGCTGATGATTTCTAAAATTAAATACCATAACAAACTCATTTGTGGTTATAACCCTTTGAACTTAACACCTTATGGTATTGGAAGTGATACTTGGGGGGAAGCTTCCGAATCTTTCATATCTTCATTTCCAATCTTGGATTCTATTCATTCGGCTCAAATATCTAGGGCTAAAGATCCTCAATACTCTATTTCATATAGAACAAATCATGGTCCAAGTTTTGGTGCCGGTTGGGATTTAACCATTGAGGGTAAAGTAATACGTTGTAGTTTAATTAGTTCTTATCCCGGAATTTCTGATTTTATTACGGCGGGTACTACACTCCACTTGGACGATTATGAAGTTTTTGGTGTGGTTAGAAAAGGCACTTAATAATTAACATTTTTCTTTTCCTTTTTTTTTTTTTTTACATATATATATCGAGAGTTTTTAGAAATTTTGTATTTTCATTAATTTTGTATTTTTATTTTAAATAAAGTTCTTTAGCTTGTCTTATTCAAATTAGAAGAAATAGCAAACGTGCAATAAATATTTAGGACACACCCTTTTTCACATATTACAACACTATTCAGTAATGTTTTCTTTAATTATTCATTCATCCGATAATTCTTAAAAATAAAATAATTTCTTTACTACGAAGTGAAATGTTTTACACAGCTGAATTAACTTATATTATATATATTTTTTCTTGTGAATTCAAGAGATGATTCATTTACAATCGTAATTTTGATTATAATATTATATTTGTCGTATGGAAATCGATTACTTATTAAGGACAGATGCACCATCAACTGCCTCGGCAAATAGGAAAAATCAAGCTAGAAAATCAAAGCAAAGAACAAAGATTGATGGAATTATTCATCATCCAACCTATAATATAGAATTGTGCTCACTTGAAGCAGCTAGATCCTTCGTAAAAAATGGAGATAGAAAAATTCTTAATGAATCTTTTAAATGCCGAAGACATTTTGGTTGATATGATAAGATCAAACGATATAATGATGAGGAATTGAATAAGTTGGTGGCTATGCATTTTCTTTATAATATCAGTATGCAAGGTTGTGAGGGTCTTTTCGAAAGATGATGTTCAGATCATTTTTCTAGAGCAAGCCATTTAGATTCTTTAAAAGCAATTGTGCGAAGTTAGGTTTCTTTTTATAAATACACTTATTAGATTTTTTTGACCTATATTAATTCACAAATAAAACTTTTTTCATCTTATAGTTGAAAACGATCTAAAAGCACTTGGATTTATCGAACAGAAGACCCCAAAGAAAGACGATTTTAAGGAAGATCCTCTTATTTCAGAAATCTGACCAACAATTCCTGAAAATAAACATTTTATTACAGAAAAAATTAACTCAAATAAATGTTTTTCAAATTGTATTTTGCTATTTTATGTGTATAAATTCGGATCATGTGATTTGACGCTAAAATTTAAGCAGCCACAGCATCACCCAGAAAAAATGGTAGCCGGATTTATTTGCCGGGTCACATATACTTATTAGGGTGACATATAATGATGACAATTAGCATTTTCTCTCAAAATAATTTCTAAGTCCCCATAATACCCTAATCCTAATCCTAATTCAAACCCTAACTCTAATACTAACCCTAATAATAAATACCCGGAAAATAAAATCCGGCTACCATTTCTTCTGGGTGATGCTGTGGTTGTCCTAAAATTTATCTACCCCAGTATCGCCAACACTTTTATAAGTAAAATTTCATTCCACGTGATCGGTGACATATAAGGTGCGTGAAAAAAATATTTTTCACTACTTAAAAAATTCTAAGTCCTTGGAATACTTATGAAAAATGGAACCGCGGAGGATATGAAACCGGATGACAAATTTTTATTTATAATCAACAATTATGATCTAAATAAGAATAAAATTTTTTTTATAAATTTTTTTTAATTTAAAAAATGATGTTCTTTAAAAAATTTAAATAAGAATTGAAAGAAGCAAAAGAAGAATATGTAAAGATAAAGGAGAAATTAAAGGAGTGGGAGAAGGAAAATATAAAGAAAAGAAGTTAAAAGAAATGAAGTAAAGAAAATGAAATTAAAAGAACAAATGGATAGATTATATAAGAAAAAAGAAAAGTTGAAAAAAATGTAAAAAAACTGACAGAAACAAGTTATAAATTGCAAAATAATTTTATTGATTTATCTAAAGGAAAAGATAATAAACAAATTACATAAAAAAAAATATATAATAAATTATTTATTACATAATAATTTTTAAAAATTATAAATACTCAACTTAAACCTATTTAATATTTAATTCAACCAGTTAATTAAGATAACTTTTATTTAATCTTCTATTAGAATAATCCATTCTTATTTTAGAAAGGGAAATGTTATTAGTTCTTATATCTAATTTTATACAGAACTTACAAACTCAACAAAATTACAATATTATAATCCCATCTACAACTGAATATCATTCAAAGATACAGTTTAAATACTAAAACTTTTAAAAATATAAAAAAAATGATTCAGAAGATGGATTTTATAAAAAAAATAGTGAATTGTTAGGTATTATTTCTTATCTTTTTTTATTTTAAGTTATTCATAATATTATTTTTAGAAGTTTCTTAAAATGTAAATGTTATCATTAAGTTCATTTTCATTTATCTTAATATCTAAATTGAAAGATTATGGCAATTAATTCTACATATTAGAGTTTTTGACCTTAGGATTTTTTTTAAATCCTATAGGTATCCATTATACTTGAATCAACTTAACAATTTATCATGTTTTAGAATTTAAGATATGTTAGTCAAATTTGTAATAATGAACTCAATAGAAAGTTAGTATAGTATATTATAATAATCCTAAACGAAGGATAACGTTGAAGGAAAAAGTAAAATTTGTATAGATTTAAATTAATTTCTTTATTTATAATACTGAAACTTGCAAAAGAATTTAAAAACTTATAACTGAGTTAATAAACTTGCAGAAGAGTTAATTTACAATTTGAGTAAATAGTTATTCTATTTATATAAAATAAATTTGTTACAGCTAACTATTTGCTATACTATAAATTAACTAAATATAGATATATATATTCCAATAAAAACATACTTAAACGTAATAAAATAATAAAGTAATGTAATTATAAAAATAATAAAAATAAATAAAATAAATTACAGATATTAAGAAAATTACAAGTGAAACAGAATAAATAGAATAAACAGACTATACAGAAAATACAAAGGAAACAGGAGAAACAGGTGAATCAGATGAATTTTGTAAATCCTTTAAATAACTAAATTAGCCTAATTTTCTAATGCAATTTGTCAATCAAGATCTTCCTTAATATGATCTACATAAAATTAAATTCAATAACTTTATAAATTATTTTTCTAGTGCAAATTTTCAACGTTAATAACGTATAAATGTATATATAGACTTTTTGCAATAGAAAGGAAGAAAACTACCAAAAAAATTTTTTGAGTTAACATTAAATCTAAATTTATTTTGTTAAAAAAAATAATATTTAGCTTATAAAGCAAAAAAAATTTTTTGGTAATTTTCTCCTTTTCTATTGCAAAAAGCTAATATTAGAAATATACCAATAATTCTCATGAAAAAAAGCTGATAAAAATAATTTAAACTTAGCTAAATATAAATTTATAACTAAATTTACATAACTATTTCATTATTGTAAATTGCCATTTATTATTACTATTATAATAATAAATAATATTATCTCTTTTAATAAGCTTAATTACTTATAAAATCTTACAGATAAATTTAAGATTAACCTTTCTTTTCAGAATAATTTGAAAGTTTTGAAAAATGTATTTAATTTGATTTTTGATCTAAAAAATTTTTACTTTATTATGAAATATTAATTTATCATCCTTTTATATTTTAAAGCTATATTTAAGCATATGTTAATATAAGTAAGTATTGTTTCTAATAAAGATAGTACTGCAAATAGTTGCAACTATGTGATACTTATTTATTACTAGTTATAACTAATTGCAACTCAATTTTTATTAATGTTACAACTAGTTGCAATTCTGTGATGTTTATTTATCACCGGTTGCAACTAGTTATAGTATCATCTTTAGTTTCTAAGCTATTGATCAAGTTAGATCACTTCTACTATTTCCTTTTAATATTTTTAATGTACAAATAGCAAATAAAGATTGTAGGAATAGGAAATAGTTATTAATTATTTAATAATTATTAAGAAGATAAACTTAAATTTTAAAATTAATTGAATGTTTAAATTTATTAAATATATTAAATTTATAATTTTATATATTTTTTTATTTTTTAAATAGTTTTAATAGAATACTAATATAATTATATAATAAATTTCTTTAATATTATAATATATTAAAGATATTTTTTATATTTATATTTTCTTTATAAATAGATTATTTTTATATAAATCATTAATTTAAAAATTAAACTCTTTTTAAAATACTATTTTTATTATTATCATAAATTATTATTAGTCTAAAATAAAATAAGAATTATATATTTCTACATGCTTTAATAACAAATATTCTGATATCTGTTTGCTCAATAATTGAATCAATATTGATTAGCTTTTGTAATTTGTATAAATATCTAAATAAAGTAAATATTAATTTAATTTTTAGTTAAGATTCAAACTTAATATCAATTTTTATTCTTTAATTTTATATTTATATTTTTGTGATCTTAAATTTAATAATAGTCATAAAAGTAGAATAAAACTAAAAATATGAAAATAAATTTATTAATTTTTAAAATAATTTTGAAATTTAATTATTAACTTAATTTATTAATAGTTGTAATATAATCAGATAGTCTATTCGTATATAAAATTTTAAAATAAATATTAAATTTTATACATAATTAGTCTAATAATAACTACACTATTTATAAATAATTTATTAGCTAAGTTTATATTATATTTATTTATTTATTTATAAATATTTAATTTCTTTTGTAAAATTATATTATTTTAAGTAATATTTTCAAATCTATTTACTTTTTTTCTAATTTTTTAGCTTAATTTACTAGAAATTCATATTATAATTTAATTTTTTATATTATGATTACTTATTATTATTAATATGCATTCTTGCAAATTGTAATAATTAAGCAGGGTATTAAGAATTAATTTTTTTAGGTTTTATATATAATTTATATTAAATAGTATTTATACTAAGAGTTTATAATTTATATTATTACTTTTCACTAAAAGTCAATTATATAAAATTGATAGTTTAATTGTAAAAACAGTTTATTAATTAAATATAAAAAAGATTTAAAGAAAAAAAAAAAATAATAAAAGAAAATAAAAAAAATAAAAGAAAATATCAAATTAAAAGTAAATATACTTAACTAAGTATTTCTTTACAGCCTAGAGTATAAAAAAAATATTACTAAGAGAAAATCTACTTAAAGATTTAAAATAATTGGGTTTTATATATATATATATTTAAAATTATATAGAATAATATATTAATTATTTTAACTATTTTAAATATATTAACTATATTAAATATGTTAAATATATTAAATGTATTATATATATTGATTATGCTAATTATGTCAATTATATAACATTTATGCTATATTATGTAGATTAAAAATATTATTATAATTTGATTTCACTACTAAAGATTATTAATTTTTATTATTTATAATATTTTATACTATATATAATCTGAATTTAATAATATTTCATTCATATTAATTAATAAATAATAAAATATAGTAATATAAAGATTTTTCTTATATTAGAAAAAATAATAAAAAGCTTTAATAAAGGTGTCTTATTAACTTTGCAATTTAAAACATGATCTAATTAATTATTGACTATAAAATAAAATTAAATGCAAATTATTAGATAAAAAATATAATAATAAATAATTAAAGAATTATAACAAATTTTTATTTTATTATCTAAAATATTTTCTAAATTGAAAAGAAAAAAAAGTTTAGATTAAAGCTATATTGTATGTTTATTACTATTATTTAAAATCTATTACAAATCAATTTAATATTTTATAAATACAGTTAGACCTCTATATAGTCATATACTTAGTTTTTTAAAAATAATAATTATATAAATATGTGATTGTAAACTCAATTCAGTTTCAAATTGCAAAAAATTAACCCAAAAATTTTCAGTTCAGTTCAGATTTTTTCAGATTATAAATTTAATTCAAATTGAAAAAATCTGAACTGAACATAAAATTTTGGACTAATCCAAAATTTAGATAGTTTGTTTTAAACAAACAGTAAGAAAATCATTTAATTGGAATAATAATAATATTGTTTCAAATGAATAATAAAAGAATCGTTCATATAGAATAATAATATCATTCCAAATGAATGATAAGAAAATCGTTCAATTGAAATGATAATATCATCATTCCAAATGAATAATAAGAAAATCGTTCAATCAGGAGATAATAATATCATTTCAAATGAACAATAAAAGAATTGTTCAATTAGGATAATAATAACATCCATTTCAAATAAATCATTTAATTGGAGTGATAATAATATCATTCCAAATGAATAATAAGAAAATCGTTCATTTGAAATGATTAAATTATCGTTCAATTGGAATGATTGATATTATCATTCCAAATGAACAAGAAATTAGAACGATAATAACATCATTACAAATAATGATAAGAAAATCATTTAGAACGATAATAATATCGTTCTAAATGATAGATAAAAATTGTTCAATTAGAATGATTAAATTATCATTCCAAATGAATTATAAGAAAATCGTTCATTTGGAACGATTGATCTTATCATTCTAAACGAACAATAAGAAAATCGTTCAATTTGGAACAATAACATCGTTTTAAATGAACGATAAGAAAATCGTTTAATTGGAACGATTGAAATTTTCATAAGCTTTATTCTGGAGTGATTAAGTAAAGTACTGTTTGTGTAAGAAATACGCCCCACACTAAACTCTATAACATGTAAAAATAGCATTGCAATTACGAACATGAACCGTATATTGATTTATACAATGTTGTGAATAATCTTACTATTCTATACCCTTTCAAAATGCAAATTCATCCATGATTAATGCAACGGTTTATTTGTATACTTTGTTTTTTTTTTAAAAAAAAAAGAGGAGAGAAATTATAATTAATAAAGAAAATTTATTAATATAAAGTTATCGACGCGTCAATGATCCAGTTGCGCAAAGTAACAAGAAAAAAAGATGATGATGGTCCTAGACATGATAACAAGTTGCTAAAATCAAAATTTATTGATTCTTCTCAACATTGAAATCTCACAAAGTTTAAGACATTCCAACTTATTATCAACAAAATCTAGTTAAAAAGGATTAAATTATGTAAACAACTATAATTACATAATTTTTTTTTTTAAGCAACCTTTATATGTATATTTCTTTAAATTACTACGTCATTAATTATAATCATACCTTTCGTTTATATAAAACATTAAAAATATAACATTCACGAGAAATGTGAATACACGTCCTGACGATGTTAGTGATTAATAATATTAACCGGGTAAAGGAATTCTTTTGGAAGCTGTGCTTTTGACAAACTTCATTAATTTCGGTCTGACTTGGGATCCGATATATTTATAAAATTTATATTTTCAATTGTGGCGACTGAAACGTGACTGTGCCATCGAGATCAACCGCAATTTTGCGATTTTGTGTTGATGTTGAAACGGCGGATGAACCTTTAAGCGATAACGACATTGGCAGGGAAGAATCAATAGAAGTCTCATTATATATCATTCACCGCATGAGGTCGTAAAATACCGATATCATACGAAATTAGCGTTTTTATGTTCTTACACGTCAATAAAACCTTCAAGATTGTTCGAAATTAAAAATTTGTGTATTACATGTTACGTTTAGTTCGGAAAAATTAAAAATTTTAAATTTTTCAAGTAACCGAAGATCCAAAATCTTAAAATCTGTACCACTTATCGGAAAAACGTTAAATTTATTTGGTTGTCACAAGATGGATGGATCGTTGAGAAAATATAAAAATAGGAGGACGCGTCATATGCCGTCAACCTATTGACGACAATGTAAAAGAATAGATAAAATTTTTTGTTGATGTTCAATTTTACATATGAAATCAAATTTTATCATGTAATAATAGAATTTATTTATTTATTTTATTTTATTTTTTTTTTTTAATTTTGTTATTTCTTTAATGCAAAAAAATTAATGGTTTATTGTGAAATTGATTTTGAAAACAAAATATATATATAAAAAAAAAATACGAAATATTAAGCAAAAAACTACTTTTTAATATAAATTATTAAAGTATGCGACATAATCTTGTCGATCATAGGCATTTGCCTTCCTCATGATTTCTTTGGTTTCCTTTTGTTTTTTACTCATCCAATCCTTTCTCTGCTTATTAGTTTTTAATGCTAAATATTCTTTTTTAGCCAATTTAATATCAGAAATCCAATACGCACGCAATTTTTCACTTGACCATGTCATGAAGTTCGTGTAGGGTATGCAATAAAGTAATCCTTGCGGTAAATAATTTGGAAACGCTTTGTCTCTAAAACATTCAAAACATTCAAAGTTATTATTAAATAATTTGTTTAAACACGAGAGACATAACAAGTAATTTCGTACCTTATTAATAAAGTTTTCTCGGAAAAACATTTGCTACACAATACTTCCTTTTTAATCCAAACGTTATAACCAAATCTATTATAACTATTATTACAAAATTGACATTTCATGGCCAATAAAGCCAACCAAATATATTGTTGTTCAATCATATTTGATGGAGGCGGAAGGGAGGGATAAGTTAAGTTATACATTCTAGATGATTTCCATATCTCTTGTATTTGTTTCTTATCTGACCATAATAAATTACGAAGTTTTTTGCATAAGGAAGATAAAGAATATAAATCTTGTGGTGTTAGATATTTGAAGATTTGTGAGTAAATTATCAAAGGTAAAATTAAAAATTTTGACTGAGGAAGTATGGGAACAAGTCTGATGATGGGTTGTTTTATTCCGGTTGATTTGGTGGATTTTACTATGGATACGGATACGGATGATGACATTATATAGCGTTATTTTTCTTTTTTTTAAAAAAGAAAATTTTTTTTTCAAAATAACCTAAATTTTTCAAAAAAAGGGGAAAAAAAATTTTTTTTTTTATTATTCTATTGTGAAAAAGCGCTTTTAAATATTATATTTATATTTTGTACAAAGGATTGACGTGACCATTATATTATACATGCATCATCTGCATCTGAAATTCGAAAATTATCTGCACCTATTGCATATGATTCGCCAACTGAAACCATTTGAAGAATTTATCCATTTATGGGTTTATAGTTCATTAAATTAGCACATAATGGTTCATGAAAAAAATTTTTTGTAATATAAAAACAAAAGGGAGATCTTCATCATTTTTAAAATTTTTTTTTTTATTTTTTTTTTTTTATTTTATTTTATTTTTTTTAAGATGGATTGTTTGGTTCCCGAGATACTTGAGAAAATATTTAAGTATATTTATGCTCCAAATGAAGATCGTTTTTATACGGAAGATCGAGCCCGCCTTCATTCGTGCTTATTAGTAAATAGATATTGGTGTAAAGTATCTGCCCCAATCCTTTGGAAATGGGCATTAAATGATTACGGAAGTATATACGAACGACAAGCCAAGATTAACACGCTACTCAAATGTTGCGATGAGAATTCCCGTCTTTATTTGATTGCCAATGGCATAGAAATACCCTTCTCCCTTCAGGAAGTACCTATCTTTCAATACGCTTCGTTCATTGAGATTTTGGATTACGGTAAATTAGTCAATTCAATTAGCGAGTGGTTAGAAACATTACCACGATTACCTGCGGAAAGTTTAACCTTGGTTCTAAGAGCAACGTTGAAATTATTGGTTAAAGAATCTAAAATAACCAGTTTTCAAGCCTGGCCTTTGAGATTTCCTACCGATTTGATTCATTTAATATTGGTTGAAGAGGGGATTGAAAATTTATTTTTAAATGTTAGAAACTTGCTCATCAACACCCACGTTAGATTGGATAGATGGTTATCGGCTCCGGTAAAGATTTGCAGAAAAATTGTAAGTAACGAGAGACTTATCTACGGAACAAGTATTTATTTCTTACAAAAAATTTTTTTATCTTTATATTACTCTAGGAAACGTTGACCATAAGCTTACCGGGACAGTCAAATTCATATTTCGGTTCAAAGTCATCCGCGGATCCTTCACCGTATTACTTTAAGGAATCCGCTCAAATGTCTTCGCTCATCCAACATCAAAAATCACTTCAAAAGCTTAAAATCAATGAGGGTTTTGGATTCTCCGTTATAATCAATACGTCATTGTCATCCGTAAAAGATTCCCTTACGAACCTTTCATTTAAATCCGTGGATTTTGGTGGGAGTGATCCATGGTATGGGATATGCACTCTGTATATGTTGGAGGTGTTTAAATGTAAGAATTGTAAAGGGTTGACCGTGGAAATGATAGAACCTCTGATAAAATGTACCAATGGAGAATTTAGGAGGGTCAAAAAGATGATTTTGGATTGGAATACCAGTAAAGAAGCGCATGACTTGTTAAATTATTGGTACTCGAAATTGATTGCAACTTCAATTACGTGTAACACGCAATATTTGGCAGATTAATATCAATGCAATGAATTATGTCTGTGCCTTATGCAGGAGTTTCTGCAATGTCAAAAGTCTCGCGAGAACTTTCTAAAAAGGGGTTCTGGTGCAGCACAAAATATACACAAAATATAAAATTTAATAAAAAAGTTTCAGTTTGATGAAAATATTTAAAACACGATCAGGTTAATAACGAAGTGTTCGTATGAAAAACATTCACTTTGTGTTTATTCCATGAGAGTCACCTTGAACTTGAATTACATAATCTTAAAATGCAAAAATAAAAAGTTAAAAGTGAATTTTAATATAAATATATTATTACATGTATATACTGTAAATAGAAAAGTTATTTATAAGAAGAAAAAAAAAAATGCCCAGTTATCGCATCACATGAAACCTTTTCGACATTTTCCATTAAAAGCGTGCATCATCTACATTGCATATCGTTGTTGATAAAGATTTCATCTAATCTTAATGTTATGTAAACTGAAACTAAAACAGATTTTAAGAATTAAATAATCCATGATAATTTCCTTCTTTTCAGTAAATTATAAAATAAATAAATTCCCAAATTTATGTTATGTAAAGTGGGATATAGTATTTTTGACATCTCAGTTTGTGCTATTTATAACCGGTTTGACCTCTTGCTTATGCCATACATATATACATATTTCATTATTTAATAAAACATACACTGCCCTACACTAAATTACCGGATTTTTTACTATATATGGAAATTATATATAAAATTCGGTTTTTTTTATAATCAT